GGCCGATGAATGTGTGTCGAGGAAATACCAGAACCTTTCGATAGATTTAATTATGTTCTGAACCCAGATTGTACTTCGTAACCATGCTGCGTGCCGTGACCCCCTATGATGGCCCTGAAAGCCGCAAAGGCGCTAATCACGTGCCTGTTAAAGACTTGCCTCCGGGCTATTTGCACTCTGAGATGACTCTGCTCACATCAACAACTTTTGGCAACAGGCATACTATCAGCCGTAGCTTTGCACAACTTTTTTCAAACTTGGCCCATGGCATTGTTATGACGGCGCGCAAGCCATGTCTCACGAGGCGAGTCTACTTTACATTTCCATGCTCTTTTTTTTCCCCGCCAAAAAAAAAAACCCCAGGCCCCGCAATATCGACCTCAATCAAATCCTAGAAGTCAACGAAATAAAAGAACCTTCCTTACCAGAGCCACGTATCATATGAATCATGTGATGGCGGGGAGCCCGACGTTTAAATGATGTGGCTACTTTAGACACTGACTTTCATTAAATATAGGTCACGCCTCCCGGCCAACTCCGCCGCGAGTACGTGCTCAGCCCTATCACCGCGCTGGCATTTGTGACGTTCGGGGAGGGACGATATCTCCTCGCGGCCGAAGACACGCATATCAAAGTTTACGACGTCGCAACGTCACGGCTCAATGGTAGCATTCGCGTCTTCGATGCGCAGCCAATCCACGGGGTTTACGTGACACCTGCGACGGAGGAGAATGGCAGCCCAAGCACACTGCAGATCCTCGTTTGGGGCGGCCGTGCTGTCAAGCTGCTGCCTGGCCGCGCCCTCGAGGCGTTGGTCGGTGCTAGCTCTATAAATAGCGATGATGCTACGCACTTCGATTCATACGAGTTGGCACCGACGGACGCAGCGCTCTTTGCGCCCGGAACTGTTGCGCCCGATTGGATACTCGACGGCCGCATATCGCCTTTCGAGGAGGGCCGCATCGTCTTACTCACGGCACATAATGAGGTCATCCAAGGACGGGTGAGCGCCGATCAGAAGACGATCATTCTTGGACGGGTGCAGTCGCCCTCGCGACCAATCTTGTATTCGGGGAATTTCTTTTGGGCTGCGCGGGACTGCGTGCTTGTTGCCGCCGGCACTGTGTTCGGCGAGATTGTCGTCTGGAAGTGCCATCTTAGCCCCAATCTCGATGATGACAGTTATGATGACGACACCGCGGCCGGCGACGCGCAGGGAAGGAAAGACAAAATTACCTGCGAGGTACTTTTCGTGTTCTCGGGTCACCAAGGTTCCATTTTCGGTATCCATATTTCGCCTGAGTTTCGCACAGAGACCGGGGAAACAGTCAGACTACTTGCGAGCTGCAGTGATGACAGAACTATAAGGATTTGGGACATCACGGAACAACGCGACGACTCTGGGAATGAAGAGAAGGGGTACGAGTCTCAAATATCCGATGCCAGGCAGACTGGATTTGGAGATTCAATAACTGGCTCTGTTGGGCTAGTTAGTAACCGTTCGAGATGTATCGCCATGGCCATGGGTCATATATCCCGAATCTGGCGGGTACAGATTCAGACCAACCCCTTTCTTTCGAAGGGTGTAATCGAAGTATATTCGTTTGGAGAAGATGCGACGATGCAAATATGGAATCTTGAGCTAGGCAGTTTGAACATGGCCTCAGACATACCCAAAACGAGTGTGTCTAATGGGTCTGATCACCCTCTGGCTAAATTGACGCACAGCGAGACCTTTTCAAACCATAGTGGGAAACATATTTGGTCACACGCTATAATATCCAGCATGGATGGTCTTCTTATAGCTACTGGTGGCGGAGACGGCAAAATAGCCCTCATGAACAATGGTTCTGTTCATTCATTGCCCATGCCGGATGATTCGATAGTAAAGAACGGGCGTCATTCGCGGTCAGTTCAGGAACTCGATGTATCTCCATTATATCTCATCGAAAGATGCCAAAACCAAGGTCCCAGTGCCGTCACACCCATCTCGACTTACAAGCATGGCAACGGAAAGGAGATGTTCCAAAGCTTCGCATTTGTCACTGACAGCACGCTGCTTATTACAACAAGATCGGGTCGCTTGTTCCTCGGCAGTTTTGGCAGCAAGATAGAATGGGAAGAACTTGTAATATCCGATGCTATTCGAACGGCTATACAATCATACACCATCCTAAGAAGCTCAAGGAGAGCTTCAACGTCATTCATCGGGGCTCCGAATGGTGAGCTGTTCTACTACCATAAGGCCAGCGGCGATTCTCTTCGATCAATACACAAAGCAGAGCGAAAGATCATCGAAATCATCTGTCTTTCCGATAACCAGGACAGCTCTTCCCATATGGGCCACGACTCTGACGGACTGTATGACGGACATATCGAGATCTTAGTAATGGTATTCGGAAGTAGGAAAGCGGAACTTCTCCGTATAGATCGAGCACCCTCTGTGACGCAACGAACAGAGGTAACGGTGCCCCCGGAATTTATAGTGACTGCCGCTGCGTGGTGCCAGAACTACCTCATCCTCGGCTCCAGGAACGGGAATCTCTCAATATTTGACCTAGCTACTAATGGGGGAGAGTCTCCTCTGTTGACCATGGAAGTCAATGTCGGTGACAAAATCACATCTATTCTTCCACTTCCACGGCGCTCCGAGGACTCACCTCCTTACTTTCTTACTACCGCCCGCGATGGAAAATATAGGATCTATGAAATCATCAATACAACGAGTAGCTTCCAAGTTCCTCTATTACATGAAATAAAACCACCGTTCGGACCCCTGATCGAAGGGTCGTGGCTCTTCGACAAAGCAGACTGGAAACAAGACCTCATGCTCTGCGGATTCCAAGGCAAGGACTTCGTAGTCTGGAACGCAACGCAGCAAAATGAGGTCGCCACGTTTGACTGCGGTGGCGGGCATCGTGTGTTCGACCATGCACAGATCAGGGGAAACCCCGCCGGTTTCCGATTCGTCTGTACCAAGGCGTCGCAGATGAAGATCTTCTCGCAGACGCGAGCGCCGCATTTCCCGCTGAAGACAGGGGGTCACGGCCGTGAGATCAAGGCTGTGTCCGCCTCGAGGAAATATGTGGCTACGGGCGCCGAAGACACCGTAATTCGAATATGGGAACTTTGCAGAACGGGCCGTGATAAACGAGAACAACAATTGCGTTGTGTGCTCGCGTTGGAGAAGCACAATACGGGCATCCAGAAACTGAAGTGGCATGGAGATCAGTATCTCTTCAGCAGCGGCGGCAACGAGGAGTTCTTTGCCTGGCGCATCACGGCATTGGAAAGCGATGTCTTCCCGCTCGGCGTCGTCTGTGAGGCCGTATTCCCCGACCGGTCTGAAGTGGGCGATTTGCGAATTACCGACTTTGACGTACACTGCGTGAACGAGCATGTCAATGCTGGTGAGGAATATAAGGACACCGGTAGTGGGGTTGAAAAATCGCGTGCCGGACCGACGTTCTGCATCTCGATGACCCTCTCGAACTCCGCAGTGCAGAGCTACCTCTACTCGGCGCAGGCGGGCTTTCGTTTGCTGGGAAGACGGATGTACACCGGTGCTTGTCTTACGCAGATCAGACATCTGGGTTTCACGAATGGATGCTATCCACAAGTCCTCACGGCCGCCACCGATGGCCATCTAGCTATATTTTCAGACGTGCGGTCGCCTCAAGACGGGACTGAGGATTCGATGGGCGTTACTGCCACGAAACTCCACCAGAGCACGGTTAAGTCACTAGATATGCAAAGCATCGCCACGGAGACGGGGACTTCGTACCTCGTTGTCACGGGCGGAGACGATAATGCTATTGGTGTACTACATCTATCTTCTGTCTCTTTAGATTCATCCACCAAGTCGACGTCTTGGCAACTTGTTAATACGGATCTCGGTGCTGCTTCGTCTTCCACTTCTCAACCTCTTCCTTCTAGCCAGGGACCGAAAACCTTGCGTGAGTACGAAATCCGAAACAAATCCATTGTCCGCGCCGCACACGCGGCCGCGGTAACGGGCCTCGGGATAGTGCGGCTTGAAAACGAGGGCCGCGATGCCGTGATCGTCACCGCGAGCAACGACCAGCGCGTCAAGACATGGCGCCTTGTTGACTGGCAGTCGTCTTCGTTGAGGGTTCACTTGATCGACGATCGGTATAGTGGCGTTGCAGACGCAGGGGACCTGGAGGTGGTGAGGGAATGGAATGGAGGAAGAGAAGGGGGGCGGGATGGAGAGGTGGCTTTGGTTGCTGGGGTTGGTGTTGAGGCTTGGAGTGTTGCTTGATTGGGGATAGAAGAGCGTATATAGACTTCAAGGAATGGAAATGTCTTTTCTTGAATTTGGATATTGAGATGACGTGATTACCTGCTCCTCAAGTCATTGGAACAAGAGGCGTACGCTTGGGTTTGCTAACTACTGTTAATATGCACTTTGGTTACCTATAGAATGAAAAGAGTCGGCCCATTCAACGGCTCCCTAAGCATCCCTCCCAAGGCAGGAAGATCGGAGCCTTGATAGGTAGCACGAACACTCCCAAGGTATTCTGCTGGGGACAACACGCTGATTACCACCTAGGATGGCTTCGCCCGTGATATTACAGCTCGTGTTGTACGGTGAGAAAGGCATCCAGGTCGGGTCAAAGGGCACACGTGGGACTATTCACTCGCGGTTATGATGCGGCTAATTGGTAGGCAACGAAGCATGTATTTAAATGAGTTCGATAGAAGAGACTACAGTAGAATATAAGTGATATTTGGAATAGATGGATAGGTAAAGATGGGCGCCTTCGAATACATTGGCCAGACCATTGGGCAGGCCGACTACTGGGCCCAGCCGCCCTACCTACTGAAACCCACTGACAGAAGTTTATGGGTGAGTGGCAGCCCCTGGATGGCCGAAGAATTTAGTTGGCCGATCATCGTGAGAAGCCCGACGTCTGTGAATCCTATCTTAGATCCAATAGCGCGCACGGATCACAACCAGCAGGGAAAATACCCTCGATGTTTTCGTGGCCTAGTGGTTAGGGCGTCTGTCTTACAAGAGGGTCTCCGGACCTGTTTGATCACAGAAGATCCCCGGTTCAATCCCGGGCGGAAACAATACTTTTATCTTTTTCTTCGTCTTCCTCCTTCCTGTACAATTTACAGCCAAGACGCTTCGTTCTGTGTATTTTTTGGTTATTTGCATTTTATTACTTTTATCGAGCGTTGATGTCGGCGTGAGGCCCTTCGTATGGCTCCAGTGACGTACGGTACAGCCTACAAGGCGGGATGCTTGGTGACCTATCTTATCAGTGTGGGAATAACTATCTAGCGGGGCTTCCGATTGCCTGCTGAGGAACCCGGACGTTACGAGAGCACGTGCCCGTCACGCCGAAAAAAAGAGAGAAACATAGTGAAGCAGTTCGAAAGGGATCTCCAACCCTCTTAACGATGACCAACACAGCGGCTTGCACCCTAATGCGACGGGCATCCGCCCGGCCCGGCACTGGGCAAGCTTGCCTACGACCAATTGGCCCCCCAAATGCTCTATTCAACGCTCGTGACATCAGCCGCAATGTAGCGCGAGCACGTCTTGTTGCCGCGCCTACGAATGCTCCATACAGCACCCGGCCAGTCAGCCAGCGGTATCCACGATCGAGCCTCATGCCCACGCCCCCCAGATTGCCCCTCAGTCTCTCACACGGCCTACAAGCCTTCCATACCTCGCCCGCCGTCCATAAGGTCAAGAAAAAGGACGAGAAGCCGAAGCACGATCGCGCCAGCGCCGATACCAGCACCGACGGCAGCACCGACGGCAGCACCGATAGCGACAGTAAATGGAAGCATCCCCCGCCCAACCCCGAGACGCCACTCGACTTTGCCGACGTCAATTCCCGTCTGTCTATGCACGCAGAGCACTTCAAACTTGCCTTCAAGAGGCTGCAAACAGGCGGGCGCTTCCACGCAGATGTGGTCGGCACGCTGGGCGTCGTAGTCGACAAGAAGGCCGGCACGGCGTACCCCCTCCGCGAGCTGGCGCAGATCGTGCCGCGCGGGGGACGCACGGTGTCCCTGTTAGTCCACGACGTCGAGTATGTGAAGCCCATCATGAGCGCGGTGCAGAGGAGCCCCGAGTTCAACCAGCAGCCGCAGCGGGACCCAGACAACGAGCTGGAGCTGATTCTCAAGGTCGAGCCTGAGACGCGGGACAACATGGTCAAGCGCATGAGAGCCGTGGCGCACGATTGGCACGAGCGCATACAGCTTGTTCGGCAACGGCGGGACAAGCTGCATGCTACGTGGAAGAAGAACGGTCTGGTTGGCCCCGACTTGAGGAGGACGGCAGATAAGGAGCTCCAGAAGATCATCAAGAATGCTATCGATGAGGCCACCAATTTAAAGAAGAGCGCTATTGATGCTATCGAGGCGAAGTGAGGAGATACGTCAACTCGTCTACGGACGTCCGGGAATGGATGTACCAGCCGAGAGAGAAGCCGGATTCCCTGTTTGCATTGTTTCGCATAGAAGTGGACATGCGCACTAGAGACGGCGACGCGCGCGGATAATAAATCCAAATATACATGTAGATTTTATAGGGCCTGCTCCTTTTACAATTGTATTATCGTACAAATAGAGCTACGGCCAGAACGTGGGCGTCTCTCGACCGAATCGTCCCGAGCATTCATCCAGTATTTTCAGTGTTTTCGGTGTTTATATAACATCCCGTCCAGCTTCCGGTGTCTCTAAGCGCTCGCACTCGTTCCATTAGCCATCTGCACGGGAGCATCTTTCGCGCCCGGCAATAGACTCTTGATCTTTTCCTCGACACGCCGGCAAGCGTCTGCATTCCACGAATTGTTCTGGGCGACGTAGTTCCGCACAACGCCGAGCGTAGTACCAGAGTCATTGGGATCCGCACCATGGTAAATACCGAGGAGCGTGTCCTGGAGGATCGCATCCTTGGTCTCTTTTGGGACCGGCGCGAACGCCTTCACGCCCATAACCTCCGCCGCCCACTTCTTCGCCTCCTCGGTTGGGAAGAACAGACCAGTAGACAGTGTGTATCGTTTCCACATGTCCCTTGACAGCAGGGTGTGCTGGGGATGGTAGGTCTCTGCACCGCCGAGGATCCGTGCCTGGCGGACCACCGTAGAGTTCTTGGCGAAGCTGGATCCGTCCGTCGCCACGGCGGGACCGAATCCCACGAGATCGTTAAGTGAAAGTGAGGGGATGTAATCTGCCATTTCGCCGGTCTCTAAAGCATCTCGCATGGCTTTTACTTCCTCTGGGTAGTCTTCAAACCCACCTCCACCTTCGCGTTCGCCTTCATTTCCCTCATCTATATCACGTGAAGGGCGGCTTCTCCGGCCACGCGGGGCCAATCCACCGGTAAGACGATCTCGCCTGTCGAGTGTATCTTTGAATCGTCTGCCAAAGCCCACGGGGCTGCCTCTGCCAATAAATCCGGCGCCTCTGCCTACAAACCCGGCGCCTCTGCCTACAAACCCGGCGCCTCTGCCTATAAGACCGCCACCTCTACCTCTGAACCCCCCGCGGATAATGGTAGGAGCGCGTACCACGCCTACCAGGCCAGGTGGCCTGCCAACTCCTCCTGCATCTCCCGATTGTGTGTCTGGCTTTACTGCGTCGATTCCACCCCCAGAGTAGCCGCCGGAGATGCCAGAACCGAAAGAAAGGGCGCCGGCGTTGGGAGCATCGGATCTTACGGTGACGGTCCTAAAGGAGAGGCCGGACGGTTGTGATAGCATTCCGCCGCCCAGATTTACGAGCTCATCGGCGGCCGCCGCCGCACGTTGTCGTGTCGTCGGCTGCGACGAGTCCTCGTCGAACGTGTTCCTGTCGCTGTTATCGGGGGCGGCAAGTTGTTGAGCGGTGGAGAAAGCTCGTAGGGTGGCGGCGATGCCATCGGAGACTCGGTCGAGATCTGCTCTCGTGCGGCCAACGGCCGGCTTCAGAGATTGGCGTATCATGGAGGTTCGACTGCTATGGTTTGGGATAATGCAGGCCGCCTGGGTCCCAGGACCGAAATTTTGATGATAGATCCCTCCGAAATGGGCTGCACGAGATCGCAGGTGGGATTTTGGGAATTCATGCGCTAAACGGGGTTTACTCGCGCAACAGAAGGTTTGCGACAAAAGTATGGAGAAATGTCAAGGCCCGTGCCACGGCCCACTTTAAACTCGGGATTCGCCGGCACAGCGAAACGGAATCGTTTCACCAGTTGCGACCAAAATCACGGACAACTGACGACACTTTATGTACAGTGTGTTCAATTACCCTTGAAACTGTATTCCTAGGCCACTTGAGCCGGCAACCTGCCTAAACCTAGGCTGGCTGTAGCCGCGATGACAGGACATATGGTCACTAAAACGCCCTACGGCATTCTCCACGACTTTGTGAAGTCTTGCTCTTGCACACTGTGGTTATAGTTTCGACTTTGCCCCCTGATTTTGGGTGTAACAGGTACCATATCATTAACACCATTCATAGTACCGACATAACATGCGTGAGAGCTTCAAAGTATCAACCCCATAGAATTCCGCATGGACTCGTTCTCCTCGTAAATATAATACTGGAAATTAAAACAATAATCCCGGATTCCATTCATTATAGGCCTTCCTAGCCTAGCTCTGCAACGGCTTGCCCATGCCGCCGTATGTGATCGACTTGATGTGTTGGTACTCCTCGATGCCATACTTGGACCCTTCTCTACCAAACCCAGACTGCTTAACGCCTCCAAACGGCGAGGCTACATCGGAAATCAGGCCGGTATTGACACCCACCATACCGACTTCCAGTGATTCGGCCACCCTGTTTATCCTCTCCAGGTCCCTGGAGTAAAAGTAACCAGCCAATCCGACCTCAGCAGTGTTTGCCAGGTCGACAACTTCTTGCTCCGTTTCAAACGGGAAGAGACCGGCAACGGGACCGAACGTCTCTTCGCTCGCGATAGCCATGTCTTTTGTCATACCGGTGATCACGGTAGGTTGGTAGAAATTCGATCCTAGGTTTGGGATCTTCTGCCCTCCCACGACAACTTTCCCGCCTTTACTCTCGGCATCTCTTACGTGAGAGTCGACTTTAGAAACGGCCCGGCCATGGATGAGAGGTCCGTGGGTAATCCCCGCGTCAAAACCGTGACCAACCTTGAAGCCCTTGACCTTCTCCGCGAACTTCTGGGCAAACTCGTTGTAGATACCTTTCTGGACGTATATGCGGTTGGCGCAGACACAGGTCTGGCCCGAAGAGCGGAACTTAGACGTGATGGCGCCAGCTACCGCTACGTCGACATCGGCGTCGTCGAATACGATGAATGGGGCATTCCCGCCGAGCTCCATGGACAAGACTTTAAGTGTCGAGGAAGACTGCTTCATCAGTAGTTTTCCAACCGCCGTAGAGCCTGTGAAAGAGACTTTTTGCACAGTAGGGTGTGTCGTTAGCGTCTCACCAACCTCGGGTGTGTTGTTGAGGGCTGTTACGACGTTGACGACGCCCTTGGGTATCCCAGCCCGATGCGCAAGTTCCGCCAACGCGAGCGAACTAAACGGCGTCTCGCCCGGGGACTTGCAAACCGTTGTGCAGCCCGCGGCGAGCGCCGGAGCGATCTTGCGGGTGATCATCGCCGCAGGGAAGTTCCACGGCGTGATGAGCCCGCAGACACCCACCGGCTGCCTCAGCGTCACCACCCTATTGCCCGGCACCGTCGCCGGTATCGTATCGCCGTATGTTCGCGGGGCCTCCTCGCTGAACCACTCGAAGAACTGGGCGGCGTAGTTCACCTCTCCCTTCGCATCTGCGAGCGGTTTACCGTTTTCCAGAGTAATCAACGTGGCCAAGTCCTCTGCATTCTCCAACATTAGGTCATACCATTTCCGCAACAGCCTGGATCGCTCGCGGCCAGTCTTCGTGCGAAAGGTCTTGAATGATTCAGCTGCTGCTGCGATGGCTTTTTCAGTATCCTTGCCATCGAATTCGGGACAGGTTCCAATGAGGTTTCCCGTCGCAGGATCATGAACCTCGAAGGTCTTCCCCGAGGCGGCTGCCACCCATTCGCCATTGACGTAGCAGACATTCGTCTTGAGCAGCGTCGGGTCATT